GTTGATGCGAAAGACAGCATATCAACTTAGAAAACAGACCTCATTACTGGAAATTTGCTGACTGGCAGGGACTAGCATTGAGTATCTGTTCCACATGGTTACTATCAAGGCTTTGAAAATGGAAAGCAGTCTGCCAATGCCACAGATTCAAGGTGTTGTTTTTTTTAAGCTTCCAAACACTAAAAGAAAGCAAAGATGGAGAATTTGCATAGATCAGAGAAACTGAATCAGTTAATTTATGGTTAAAAGTGTTAAACTAGAACCAGGGTGATCCATATATGATTACACATCCACTAACCTTAGATATTGTTATACACTTTTGAAAAGGGTGCTTTACGTGCCAATTTGAGATGGGATATTATCTAAAGAGAATCCAGCTGGAACTCATGAAGAAACAAATGTATTCTCTATACTTTACATTGAAAGTTTTGGATTTCTGGCAAAGTGGGGGGAGAGATGGGAGAAGATTTGACAAAATATCATAATTTTACTTCAAAAAGACGTCCTGTTCAATTATTCAGATACTTACTGTATGGTAATACTAACTGATGGACTTTAGATCAAAGTGTCCTCACAATGTAGTAGAATAGAGGACATGAATTTGCTCTTTTTCTGATGTTTTGTTATATTAAATAACAATATAATTGTCTTGCCATCTGCTACATTGATGGGAACTGCTGTACAATACAGTGATGCAGTAGCCTCAGAGAATCATTAAATGAGGATATAATAGAGTATTGAGTTTCATACATTTGAGCTGGAATCTTAAGAATTATCAGACACGTATGGAGCATTGGTTGACCAAACTGAAGATGACCACATAGTAGAGAATTGGTGGTATTTCTTTCATAAAGTGTCAGAATGCACACAGTGCATAATGCAGGACCTGTCTGATGCTTTATTAACTTATCAAGGAGTAGGTCACTTATATTCCTGTATGCATCAAAACATAACAATGCTCCTTCTCCTGTTCTGGTGGCATCTCAAATAAGACTGCATCTGTGGAAGTTTTGAGTGCATTTTTGTTAGGATTCCTGTTTTGTTGCAATAGAGAAAAAAATGGCTATTTTTTTAAAAAGATTACTTTTCTAATAGTGCCTGTTAAAATGTTTTGGTATTCAAAGGCATGAATCTTAAGGATCTATAAATCAGCCAAGATCTAATTTGAATTCAAGGAGTTAAATTCAATATGATTTTGATTCAATTTCATGATTATATTCAAAGATATATTTTGAGGGGTAATCTGCTTGCCTTTGAATTTTGTCTTTGAATTAACACAGATCCTGCCAGTGATTGTGAATCTTCTTAAAGCAAAATAGCCTGATAGTAGAATATCCTCTCTGCTAACATAGGAAGGGTGTAGAGAGGATTGTATGCTTTTGATGTCAGATGAAGAAAACTTTAGATTTTTAGTTGAATATTATGTTGCTACTCTCTTTACTCACAATATCTGTCAATTAACTGCTTCTTTGAATCACAATTAGCACCTAAACGAGCTTGACCTGTTTTTAACCTTTCTGATTGGCTTTCGTTATTTTGATAAGTTGATCCACACTGCCAGTTTCAGTTGTATTCATAAAGGATACATGCTAGACAAAGAATATAGGTCAGTTAAAATGTTAATACATAAATATCAATTTCTGAATTCATTTGTTCTTTTAAGAGTCTATGCTCTTTTCATCAATAACAATAACAACAACAACTATTATTGTTGTTGTTGTTGTTGTTGTTGTTGTTTGTGTAAAAATTATGATATTAAAACAGCAACA